ACCGGTTAAGTTTGTTATAACTACATACCGCCCTAAGGTGTTTAGCTACTCATCGAGGTTGAACCAGGCAGAAGCAGAGAATTTAATAATGACATACTCATGGCAGAAAAATAAATAGACATTATAACTAAATTAAATTGCAATATAATAAAAACCTGATTAACAGATATTCGAGCAGACTCCTTCTTCCACAGACCGGAAAACTTGGAGTAGGCGGAAATTAAAAATAAACGAATGCTGAAGGTTTAGAAACAATTAAATGTATGACAATTTCCTGATGTTGGAAATTGTTATACGGTTGGTTTGGATACAAATAAAAAACGAAACAGAAGCTAAAAATAATGCTGGAATGAAAATGCTGGTTCGTAAGGCAGTTTGGCAGAGCTTCCGCAGAAATTTTGAATAATGAAGTCTGTCCTTGAGTTCACAGAGCTTGTACTATTTATAGAGTCTTTAATGGGCTGGATTCTTGGTCCTTTGTTGCATGGGCCTTGCTGAAGTTGTTGAGGAAATGCTGGAACGTGGCAACAAAAATGGGAGAAGTGGTCTTCACGTGCTGCCTTGAGGAGAAATAAGAGGAGAAGTGGTCTTCAAGTAGTGCCTTGACGTAGTCTGAGTCAAAACCAAGTTTTATCCTTGTCACGGGCGTGACAAGTTCTTCACGTTCGTAATTTGAGGATTTTAAGTGTCACGGTCGTGACCACTCTCTTACGGTCGTGATGGCCCAAATTGGGGTGTCACGGTCGTGACACCCTTGTAACGATCGTGGCTGCAACAAATTATGCAGTCTTTTTGCAGGCTTCTGCATTTCTCCATCTCCTTGTGGTCTCTTTTGTTCCTTTTCTCTTAATTCATGATTTAGCTTCACATAACGATGTACCTGCAAAATAGTAAGAAAAACTCGAGAAATCGAGTGTTAAAACGGTGAATGCGCGATAAAACGTCAATGAAATCTAGCGATATAATCGATGCGTTTTCTTGTTATCAAGAAGCACGATACCATAGGTTTCTTCTCCCATCCTTCATAGGTGGTTCAGAAACGTAGGTATGGTCATTCAAGTATAGTGGTGCATCAATGGCAATAGTAAAAGGATGATGTGACTAAAGCTTGGATGCCATTATTGATTCTAAAGGTTTCTTGAAGAGAAACATAGTGAAGAAGAATGAAAAACCGCAGAAAAACTCTCAAGGTTTCTTTTTTACTTGTGTTTCAAAAAGATGGAAATGGTGAGAGAGAGAGAGAGAGAGAGAGAGAGAGAAGAGGACATTGTGAGGGAACATGTTACCGAAGAAGGAAAACGATTCAGTTTTGTGTCCAAATGATTTTGGACACGTGGCGCACTAAAGTCGACAAATGGCGTTAGGAAAGATGAAAATGGAGTTAAAAGAGTTTTTATCTTCATTTCATTTTTAATTAAGCTCCTACGAAATATGGGTGATCGTGATCAATTGCACGCATGTATGCGACATGACATTTTGGTGTAAAGTATTGACCAGAGAATAATAATTAAATAGTGAGACGTTTCATTGATGTAATGTGTGCAGACTAGGCAAAAAGTGTCGATGGGTTACAAAAATGTCATCTTTCCTCCATTTGATCATATGATTGAAAGTGACATTTTTGAAGGACATATGTTAACCTGAATTTTCACTTAGGAGAAAAGTCAACTGAGTACTGCATTGGGAAAATGCTAGGTGTTAGCATTTAGTTTTTACGTAAGTCGAGAGAACTGATACGTCGACTAGAGCGTTCTGACTGACGTCTTGAGATGTGGTTTGGAAGAATCTCAAAAGCAGATCTTGAGATATGGTTTGGAGGAGTCTTAGGAACATATCTAAGTGATCACTCGACATCACTTCGAGGTTGATACATTCGACGATCTCCAAAGACTTGGAAGATTGAGGAAACCAAAGACTAAAGAAGGGACTTAACATTATCAGCAACTACCTTCGACGAACAAATATCGTTATTAGTCGATAAGAGCAGTTAAAGAACTTGGGATAATAGTTTTCAGCAGTTTTTAAGTACCAATGATGTGGCAGTGCATCAGAAGATTAAGTTGCATGTAGGGCTGGAAATAAGTCGAGTCGAGTCGAACTCACCTCAGCTCGGCTCGACTCGTTAAGAATTATTCGAGTTCGAGTTCGAGTTCGAGTTTGACACTAACTTTTTTTTAAGCTCAAACTCGACTCGTTATAAGTTCACGAACAGTTCGGTTCAACTCGTTAGGTTCATCTCATTAGGTTCGGTTCACATGATTCACGAACTTAAAAACTATTTTTTTAAATATATATATTTTTTAGTATATTTGACATTTTAAATATATATATATATATATATATATATATATATATATATATATATATATATATATATATATATATATATATATATATATATATATATATATATATATATATATATATATATATATATATATTTAAATAAAATATTAAAATAAACTAAAAGTTATCATATTGAAATTTAACTTTATCTTCGAAATCTACTAATTTAAAACCTACACAACTTTCAAGAGATACATTTGAGAGTCTAATTCAAAAACTACTAAATTAAAAATTAAATTTGTCTAAGATTTGGAGTAAATATTTAAACCTGATCTTAAAGACAGTATAATTCTTCTCATATGTAATCGAGTTGACTCATGAACCTAACGAGTCGAACTATGTATAGTTCAAGTTCAGCTCATTTAGTTAACGAACTTAATTTTCCGCTCATACTCAACTCATTTGGTTCATGAACCTAATTCAACGATTTAATTGTCGAATCGAATTTCGAACTATTTTCGAGTTGGTTTGGTTCATTGCCAGCCCTAGTTGCATGTCTTTAAAGACATGTCAATTTTTTAGGAATGAACTGTCGAAAACAATTATTTTTAGTTTAGTATATATAGCAATCTCATATGTTGTAATCAAGATCGCAAATTTCATATAATTTCTCTATAGAATTGGAGTACCCCGAGACAAAATGTGAAATAGTTTTTGAGTGATATGTGAGTTTGCGCTCCTTTCACTGTATTATCTTTATGTTTTATTAATTGAAACATCTTTTCTTTTTATCATTTGCTGCATTTACGTTATGTTGTTTATTGCAAAGTTCTTTTACTTTAATTCAAATTTTAGTATCTTTAAAGTTTGTCTTTATTCGGTCTGCACACAAACATTATAATCACTTCATATACATGTTTTCTTATAAATGTATTTGCACAGAATTACTACTGAGATTTTTCGAGTTAATCTCATAAATTTTTAAACTTGTGATTGTTTGTTAAAAATATATATGTCATACATTATTATATGTTCTCAACTTAACAAAATAAATATTTCAAAAATCCATTACAAATTTAATACAACAATATCAATAATACATAACATAACATAATTCTACACTTCATTTCAACCATATTTAAAAATATTATGACAAAACTAAAGAATTATAATAAAATAAGTTAAACTAATTTAAATCAAAAAGAAAATAATAAAATATAATACTAAAGAATTACAATAAAATAAATTAAACTAATTCAAACCAAAAAAAAATTATAAAATATAATAACTAAAATAAAGTTCAAATAATTAAGATTATCTAAATTAAATAAGATAGAATACCAAAATATAAATAATATAATATACTTTATTAAATAACAAAAAATCGAAATTGAATTGAATTACAACAAACAAGTCTTAATTGACAACAACAAACAATATTAATTTGAATGAGATTCAATAGAGTTGTATATCATGACTATGTTTAAAAGAGATAGTATGATGGTGAGGTGTGGTTGGTTGAAAGAAAAACTATAATGGAGTGACAAAATTTAAAAGTTTGTATAATTGTAAAAAAAATACATTTTTTTTTGTGATTGAGGAATGTATGTTAAGTTTTAATATTAACCTATTAAAATTATAAAAAAAAATTAAAAATAATCAATTTGATGAATTTTTTTTGACCCGGACGATTTTAAAAAATCGACTCTAATTCTTTAGTTCGAATTGTTTTGAACGGTTCAATTCGATTTTTTTGATTTAACTCAGATTTTGACCTATTAGCAGTTTTGAAATGTTGATTCAATCGAATTCATCTCTAATTTTCGATTCAATCGGTTGAATCGACCGGTTCGATCTGATTTTTAAAACATTATCATAAACATATTAGCACAGAATCATTATTGAGATTTTTGGAATTAATATCACAAATTTTTAAACTTTTAACCTTGTGATTGTGATTGTACGTTAAAAATATCTACAAATACATCTTTTATGCATTGCAAATTTCTTTTATTTGAAACATAATTACTTTAACAGGATTGCTATGTTGACACCCATTTCTACACCCTACACCTCAATTACTGCTCACAAATACTTGAACAAATTCCCCAGAACATGGTTAATAGTGTGTATTTTATTGGTTAATGAAGTAGTGAAAGTGGTTAATAAATTATAGGTAAAATAATTGGCTAATAATGTAGATTTTTGTGGTTAATGCAACTGTGAAGTTGGTTAATGCACAATCTTATATTTGTGTTATAAAATAAATTTTAAAAATAAATATTTTTTTTTTAAAAAATAATATTTTATAAAAATATATTATTTTAATAAAAAAAACACTGTTCACCGTATAAATACGGTGAATAGTACATACGGTGTAAGTATTGGGTGTAAAAAAGGGTGTAGAAATAGCATTTTTCTTACTTTAAAGATGAATTGAAAAAAAATAGTTATTAGAAGAATTTGATTGGAATACATATAATTAATAATAATAAGAAACGGAAAAGTATATATTATTAATGGGAGACATGCGCAGTCGACATCATCGCCCCTGTTGAGCAAGAAAATACCATCGCCAAACCTCACACCCACGCATCACAATACCAAAAAACGAAACTCGAATCACTTTACTCTATTACGTTGGTAATGATTCAATATACTAGAAAGTAAAAAATAAAGTTACTTTCCTGAACATCACTGACCGAATTTGAGAAATGGCAGTACTCCCACTAGTAAAGCTAGGAACACTAGTTTTGAAAACCGCTTGCAAACCCATCGCCAATAGGCTCAAAAAAGAAGCTGGATACCACCCTAAGTTCCGCAATTTCATCATCAGCATTGCACAGACCAATCACAGGTTTACCACAAGAATTCAGAGACGCATTTATGGTCAAGCTACTGATGTTGCCATTCGTCCTCTCAATGAAGAAAAGGCTGTTCAAGCTGCTGCTGATCTCCTTGGAGAATTCTTTGTTTTCACTGTAATCATTATTATCAGTTTTAACGTTATTTGTTTCTGTTTGATTGAATGCCTTCTACCTGTTTGTGTATTTTACCCCGTATAGAATTATGTCTTTATTTTTGTGTGGTTTGTGTGCCAAGTAACCCTTTTACACGTGGAAGTCTGTGATGTTTAAACTTAGTTCTTGTAGACTTTGCCGTAAACTCCCATTGATGTCTCTACCTGAAGCTCCCTAAGCTTCCCCTTTCTGTAGATTTTTTATAGTGTAAGAGCTTTTATAATCTTGTTTAGGCCAGGCTCTTATGCGCATCTTGTTCTGCTTGGGAACTAGAAATTATTGGTGAGACTGTGGGATGAGATATTGGATTGGTGGAGCAAGTTCCCGTGTGGCGGAGAGGAGGCGGGATCTGTCGTTGAGAGAACAAGGAGTAATGTAAGAATGATAATGAGTTTGAATACTTGAACTGGAGCGCTTTATTTCTTATATAGTGCGAGCGGTTAAACCCATCTGCGTGAGAGGAGACACACAATGCAGGTGGCTGTTTAATCACATGGTAATTGATGTGTATGGAGGTGGAATTATCTACCCTTGGCGGAGAGAAGGATCACCTAGTTCATACGCTCTTCGCTTGATGCCGCTCTTTGGCCTTTCACTATGGGTCTTGGGAACGGCCCTGAACACTTCCATTGTCTAGAAAAAAGGAAAAGAAATATTTCAACCATAGCATAATATACTGGTTGTATTGTTTGAGCAGGTGTAAAACAAAGGCTTTTTGTCAAAATCTAAGTTGGCACAATTTCCAAAAATGAGGTCTAGACTTTATAATTTATTATTAATTAAAATAATATTAGCTCATATATTCTATCATACAGACATCGGGTTTTGGATGATAGGTGTGAAATTGATTGATTTTGTGTCCGATCCTTCTCTTTTTGTTGCTATCTTAAACTGAATATTACATACATTCATAAAAAAGTGCTTTCAATTATTTGTAGAATTTCCTGTTATTTGGTTTCCACTTCTGGCATACAAGAATAGTAGCATAGTATTTGTTTTATCTATACCATACCAGCTATCAAGATTTCTCTTGTCATCATCTATGGTCTTTCTAACAGCTAATATGATTAATTATATATTATAAGTTTTAATCTTCTTTTATTTAGGTTGCAGGAGCGGCTGTAATCTTTGAGGTGCAAAGAAGTTCTAGATCAGATGCAAGAAAGGAAGAATTACGCAGACGTGAAATACAGGTCGATTATCTTTCTATGAGGGGTAGATTATGTAGGGATTTCACTGAAGCAAATCAAAGTTTGTCTTGTTACAGTCTGTTAATTGGAGGGGACAGAAACAGGTATTGGGGCCAAATAATTCTAAATCCTAAATATGTGCTCACATTTTTGTATCATAGCAGGCAATTAAGACTAGAAGTGAAGAGTTGAGCATGGAAATTCAACTTCTTGCACAAAAACTTGAAGAGCTGGAACAACTTGCTAGAGGACGGGGACTTGCTGGAGTTCTTAATTTCAGGCAAGCCAATGCCGGTGAAGATAAAAAATCAAAATCCAATTAATCGTCTCAGTTGTTAAACATTGCGCACAGGTTTTGATAAAATGCTTCATAAGTATAGTTATTTGGTTTGTTTGGAAAAAAATGGAATTGATATGAAAAATGTTCTAAGAGAGACATAATCTTTAAGAAGGTATACAAACATATCTAAAAGATTCATTTTTAGATGTGGTGAGGGGCATTGAGGATTAGTCTTAAATACACCCATCCTCTTTGTCAATTTGCTCTTGCTAAAAAGTTTCTTTTTGAATACTAATGGCATGTTAGCTTTCACATTGGGAAGGTCTTAAATCACCTTTGGACAAAACTACAAGAGAGTAGAACTTTCATGATAGAAGCCAACCACATTTCTCAAGCCTCCGGATAATCACATTTCCCTCGTCTAAAATTTTGTTTGTCAGTCACTTGCTACTCTTCACATTTGTCAAATGATTGACCGAAAATAAGTCCCTTGCAATTTTGTAATAATTGCCAGACATTATTCAAGACAAATCAGATACAGTATAGTTTCTTTGGCTTGGCTTTTCAACCTGTCTTTCAAGTTAACATGTTACCGAGCTTTTGATTTTGTTTTCGATTTGGGTCTATTAAATATCAATTTTAACTTTTTACTCTTGAAGGTTGTATTGTATTTAACAATGTCTCAGCTTCTCATTTTCGAATGAATTTATGGCTGAGAAATGAGTTTTTCCCAAATTCCCGCATGATGGCGGCTAAACACCATCATCCATGAAATTTTTTAAGTATCCTCGAAGTAGCAGACAAGATAAAATGAAGTTTTGTTTGTTATGAGACGAACATTTTACTCTACATATGTGGTGAAGCATAAGGAGGACATTAGATTCAGCACTCATTAACGTTTCCACCAAAATCTCTATTTTCCACCAATTCGCTGATGTTCAACGACGACGTAGAAATCACAAAACAGAGACAAAATCAATGTGGATGGCTATGAACTGCATAATAGAGACTATCCACAACTAAAAAATGGAGAAAGTTTATTGAGTGACTGAAAATTCACAACCATTTTCTGTTTTGTAACAAGAAAACTCCAAAATATGCCCAAAATTACTTAATAGCAAGCTATTCAAAAACTATAGCAGTCGAAAACTTTGTGGCTCTAATGATTCTAATGATCTCGACAATCAAATAGATAGACACGAAACAACTAAAACCCTCACTAGGGGTTACACAGACTACCAAAAATCATTCAACTAAAACCCTCACTAGGGGTTACATAGACTACCAAAAATCATTTTGATAATTTCATGTGGGTTTCCAATTGAATTGAACGCATCTTCACAAAATCGATCCTTGTCCAATCCACAACGCTCAAGTCAGGTCAAATTAAAACCATTATTACTTAATCAGTGATTGAAACCACCTCAGTGCTACAATGACGTCACTCTATTCATCATGGTTGAGGTTACCAAGGGTATCTCTGCAATCCAATATTTATATATGTATTTGTTTCAAATGTTGCTAATTGTTTTTCAATTGTTATATAATTTATTGTGGAATTGATTTATAAATAACTTATAATAATGTAAGGTTCACTTAAAAAATTGTGTGGGGGAGAAAATCACACCAATTCACTATAGGGATGTTGTATCTTAGGCAGAGGTAATTCAAAAGTGCCACATACTTGATTATAGTGGAAATTATTTTGAGCTTTCTTGTGGTAGTTACATATGCATGAGGGAGGTGCTCTTCACTACACCCATAGAGATCACACATTCTATGAAAAATTTAAAATGTCGCATCATTTGAATTTTAAAATTCGAATGTGTCTATTATATATACCAAATTATTTCACCAACATCTTTATTGGAAAAAAAATACCAAATTTTAATCTAGAGATTAACCCATGCTTTGACTACATATTTACCAAATCACTTCAAATTCGGACAAATCTCTAGACAACTTTTTCACACTTAGATAGTGAATTAAAAGAAATTTTATATTTTTTAATGAAACTTACAATATAAGTCATTTATAAATCAATACCATAATAAATCATATACATTTATTATTCAATAATAAGATCAAATATTCAAACAAAAATGTTGGTAAATCATACATTAATGCTCATAAAATGCAACAAACAATAATACAAAATTTTAAAATGTTAATATCAAAATACAAAGTAAAAGACAACTCTTACGCATATCTGATGTTTATGTTCCTCCCATTCCTCCTGTACATCAATGCATATTGTGCCTATGCAAAGATGGCTGTAGAGTGACCCTCTCATGAGTGTCTTCCTGAATCTCGCCCTAGCAAAGACCTCTACTTGAAGGGAACTCGCGATGTAAAATGCAGTGGAAACAAAAATTTCCCTTAGCCGATCCTTGCGAATGAGCTTGATCAGTGATAGATTAGTTACCTCTTGTGGTGATTAATTATTGATGCAGAATCAAAATATCAACCACGAGTTATGATCAATGTCTCTACTCAGCCCGCACAAATAGATTGACTTCAATTTCAGTGCTAGCTGATACAATGAAGATTTTTTTTATGTGGTGATATATATATATATATATATATATATATATATATATATATATATATATATATATATATATATATATATATATATATATATATATATATATATATATATATAATGAAGATTTTTTTTATGTGGTGATATATATATATATATATATATATATATATATATATATATATATATATATATATATATATATATATATATATATATATATATATATATATATATATATATATATATATATATATATATATTATATATATATATATATATATATATATATATATATATATATATGTATGTATATATATATATATATATGTATATATATATATATATATATATATATATATATATATATATATATATATATATATATATATATATATATATATATATATATATATATATATATATATATATATATATATATATATATATATATATATATATATATATATATATATATATATATATATATATATATATATATACATACATATATATATATATATACATACATATATATATATATACATACATACATATATATATATATATATATATATATATATATATATATATATATATATATATATATATATATATATATATATATATATATATATATATATATATATATATATATATATATATATATATATATATATATATATATATATATACATACATATATATATATATATATATATATATATATATATATATATATATATATATATATATATATATATATATATATATATATATATATATATATATATATATATATATATATATATATATATATATATATATATATATATATATATATATATATATATATATGTGAGAGAGAGAGAGAGAGAGAGAATATGACTAGGGGTATAAACTGAATTTCATTAATGTGAAAGCTTATGCTTAAATGTTATATTTAGAACCACTTGTGTGGGCTGAAAGCTGAAAAAACTAACTTGAGTGCATCGTACATTACGGTATAATGTATTTCGCTTAATTACACGATACCTTACAATATTTTCTATTATATTTAAGTGCAATGTATCTTAGAGTGTTCTATAATTCACTTAAATGCACAATTCCTTACGATGTTCTGTAATTCTCATAAGTACGTTGTACCTTACACTGCTCCATTTCACTCTCTCACTCATTTTTCATTACGTGTGTGGCCCTGTAGGTTCTCGTGAAGTTAGAAATTGTACTCAATCGTATTTTTAATATAATAAATAGTGAGCGATATCTAGTAACACATCATTGCTACCTAAGTCACGAAAATGCCATGTGATTTGACAAAACTTTTATGTGATAATGTTTATGTGTATAATCACCTTGGTACCCTCATGTTTATGTTGAACACAAGAAATAAACCGTGTCACCCATGTTTAGTTCAATATTGGGCTGTTAGACATATATCATGTTACGCGTGATGGACAAATTCCATTTAGGTCACTCATGTCCCTCAGTATGATTTGTCAAGTACAAGTCAACCATCTTTATAATCATCCTATTACAAACAACATTTGATTGCAAATAAACTACTTGACTCCTCATCTAAAGTCTATAGTGGTTTTCAGGTCGAATGGTGATATACAACGTTCTATTTCGTACACATCAAAAGTCTTTATAATCATCCTATCACAAACAACCTCGAGAATAACTTATGACACTTTCATAACATTCTATTTCGTATTCTCATGGTTGGTCAGTCAAGTATAAATATTACTTCTAATATTCATACATATGTGAAGACTTGATAACTTTTTATCCCTGATCCATGAGATATGATCATAAACCTATCCACATGATAATATAAATGCTTTAATATTATCCCACTTCATAATAAAGTTTGACTATGGATACTTTAAGAATAATGTCATCATGTTTAATGAGATCTCATGTTTAAGTCACACTTAATGTTTCATTAAACTTACTAGCTATTCTAGAGACATATTATGGGAAAATAAACATAATAAAGAATATCTTTTATTGTTAAAACATAATTTGATAGAAGTACCAAGTTCTAATAAAACTATTATCCTACAGGGCTTACACCAACATCAATAGCCACAATACAATGACATATCAACAACACATTCACAACATGATCCTCCCCTGCATACTCCTTTTCTAGGATCTCTTGATGAGTTAGCCTCATGAGATCTCCTTCTACATTTTGTATCATGTAAGGATGCGACACTCTATAAAATTATTGGACATAATCGTATATCATATTCCATGATTGAGAAGCTGAGACACGACGTACATCCTCTGACCAAATGCTCATAATGCCCCACAAATATTCCGTCAACATCTATACAGAGTACAATGGCAGGAGAAACAACTATGAGGTATTTGGGTATACCTTGAAAATACCCAAACTACCCTAGTACCCGCTTAGGTAGATGCGGGTGCATAATTCGAGACCCACAAGCCAACCATCCAGAGTACATGGTTAACATCTTAAAGGGTCG